AAATTATTTTTATATTAAAAGGGTAAAACTGTCTTTTTGGGGCGGTAATAATTAAAAAGGGGGCGATATTTAAAAAGTGAAAACCAAGATGAAAAGCAGTAGCAAAAGAAGAAGAATGGATAAAAGGTAAAAACACAACGTTAAATTTAACATAATAATTTATGAAATGGCGATTGGATGGGCAGGCCTCCAATTACTCCCACGCGCCGCCCTACCTTCCTCCTTGCATCTCCTCACCCTTAGATATTTCTCCAACTCCCCTTCCAAATTACTCTTCATTTTCCCATTCAATTCGAATTCCTCGTCCGATTCCCATACCGCCTCCTCAATTTCCTCCTCCTCCTCTTCCTCCTCCGGCGCCGTTTCATCTTCATCCTCTTCCGCGGCGGAGTTTGTGGCCTCCGCCGTCATGTAGCTCAACCGGAGCCTGCCGTCGCTCCTCTCCGCCTGAAGGTACGCGTTCCTAAACGGCGTCTCCACCGCCTCAATGATGAGCCGCCCGCCCTCCCTGTGGCGGCGCACCTGCAGCGAGCAAGCGCCGTTCATCGTCGTCAGAGGCGGTGGGTAGCTCTTCGCCTCGCGGCGGTTAGGGTTTTTTTGGGGATTTGAGATTGGGTCGCGATTGGTGCCGATCAATTCCCTGCTTTGGGGACTCGAGTGCTCGACCGACGGCGGCGAGTAAAAAATGGAGTCTCCGCTATCAGACATGATGTCGCTGCCGGACTCGCTGCCGAGGTTTTCGGTGCAGAGTTGGAGCGATTTAGAGGTCATGGTTGAGAAGGACGTTTTTTGGGCCCAGGGGTTTGCGTCTCTGAAATATTCCCCTGTTTCTCTTTTGATGAAGTCCCAGTTTCCGAATTCCAGGTTTGTGGATCGGTCGGCGGCCGGATTCTTGAAGAAGTCGATGGTCGCCGGAGGCGACGGTTGCGGCGGCGGCGCCACTTTCAGCTTGAGGGTTGTAGTTTCCGCCGATTGGGAGTCAAAATTAGAGGACACGATACTTTGGCAAAGTATAGTTGACATAGTGAAATAGTATATGTAACGTTTGT